GAGGCAGGCAGATCTCTGTGGGTTCAAGGCCAGCCTGGTCTACAAGACCTAGTTCCAGGACAGCTAGGACTGTTACACAGAGAAACCCTGTCTCACAAAAAACAAAACCCCAACAAAAACAAATAAACAAACAAACAAACAAAAAAACTAAGTCAGGCATCATCACTAGGTCTCTACAGCTAACTAGTATGGCTGCTGGGATTAAAGGTGTGTGCCACCACTGCCTGGCCTGTATGACTGACTAGTGTGATTGTTTTCTGTTCTGGTCTTCAGGAAAGCTTTATTTATTAAAAAACACAAATAATATACCACTATACCCAATAAACCCTTTCCACCCCATTGTGCTTTAGTCATGGTGTTTCTTCACAGCAATGGTAGCTCTCACTACAACACAGGGGTTTAGGAAACCCCCAAACGTGCCGGGATATTGATGGACCCAGTTTTCAGCAGGTCTTGTGTGCCAGTGGCCATGAGTTCATAAGTGCAGTACCCATGTCACATCTAGATGCCAGTCTTTCACAGAATTCCTTCCCAACTCTGGGTCTTACTTTCTTCTGCTGTCTCTTCCCTGAGCCTCGAAGGGGTTTTATACAGATGCCCAGTTTAGGACTGAGCTCTCCATGGCCATTTAGTCTCAGCTCTCTGGCCAGTGATGAATCTGGGTTACCTGTCACCCTCTACAAAGTGAAGCTACTCTGCCTGAGACCCAGAGGGGCATTAGTCTACAGACAGAAACAAAAACATTCAGGAGACATCATGTTCCTATAGCAGAACAGCGGCAGCGGCAGCGGCAGGTTCTCCCCCAGGACTTACGACCTCTTCAGCCACAGACTTTTCACTGAGTTTGTGGTACCAGTCATCAGTTCCTCCTGTGGGGGAAAGCCTAGAATCCAATCAGAAAGCAGATGGTTATTTTCAAACTAGTCATGCCACTATTGCTTCATTGATGCCAATTGCTGCCAAGTTGATGATGTGGACTGTAACACCCGGTTTCGGTGTTACACCCTCGGTACAGTTCGCGCGCAGTCCGGGCAAGGGCCTGGAGATTGAACACAAGACACAGAGACCAGGGTCATTCGATAGGAGATCAAGCGAATGCCATTTATTCAGACTTGGGGAAGCCCTTATCTACCTAACTGCAGCACAAAGATCTCTCTGCCCCGGGAGGTGGGAAATTACCATATTAACAGTGGAGAAGATTGCCTGCAGCTAAATCACCAGGTGGGGCAGGGATAGCACGGAAACACACAGGAAGCTTAGTTAGCTGATAACAAACTGTCCCCGCCAATGCACCCCAGGAATAAGGGAGACCAGGCACCCACAGTGGACTGCAGGGTTCACCGTTGTGTGACTGTTGGTGACTTCTCTACCCAAATAGCCCATGTAGTACTTTCCAATACGCTGGATGCTAGCCAGCACTGAAGAAACTCCCGGCTCAGTTCCAGCTAGGTATCTATATGCCCTGCAGCCAAACTGTGTGGTCTCTTCAGGAATGTCTAACATCTAGTTCTGGTAGGGAACCGAGAGCAATGGCAACAGCCTGTGTTGTTTTAGGGGCCTCTGTGCCTCTGTGGCCGACAGGTCATGAGGAGGTATCCTAGACGTGGCCCTGGAATTTCTATTATGGCTTTTAGAAGTATCATTGTCCACATACAGGTAACCTCCCTTCAGACCCTTGTTAAAAACATATATTCGCCAGGTGGTGGTGGCGCATGCCTTTAATCCCAGCACCCGGGAAGCAGAGGCAGGCAGATCTCTGTGAGTTCGAGGCCAGCCTGGTCTACAAGAGCTAGTTCCAGGACAGGCTCCAAAGCTACAGAGAAACCCTGTCTCAAAACAAAACAAAACAAACAAAACAAAACAAAAAAACAAAAACAAACCCCAAAATTATATATTTTAAAATTGACTTAGAAACTACCTTTCCATGTGGACTTTTCATGTGTCATTAGTTTTGGTTAGCCCCCCTTTACTTCCTGTTGTGTGATGATACTTTGATTACATTCTGACAATAAACTTTGCTTTGAGTCAGACGGTAGAGCTAACCACTAGCTGACCAAAATTAAGCACAGAGGTTTTGGAGGACAGATAGAGAGACAGGAAGTGGTAACGCATGGCTTAGAGAGGACCTCAGTCCTTTTCGAATGGAGGAGACAGAGATAGGAAGTCACTGGTTGCTTCTTTGATCATTCAGATTCTTACCCCAATATCTGACTCCCGAGTTTTGATTGGTAAAGAATAATTAGGTAAATGCCTCAACTCCCTCTTCTCCCCCATCCTCCCTACCCCCAAGCCAAGGTGAACCTTTCTGCCCTCAGTAAATGCCCCCTCTGTTTTGGTATCACATGTGACCCAACATACCCCTCTCTTAAGGCTACTTCTTCCAATCCTTAAAGGCCATTTTCTAGCTTCCCAGTCTCTACAGGTGCTCCAAGTTGAACATTGACCTCTAATAATTCAAAGCTAAACTTAGGTCCACATAGGAGAAAGACTATGTGGCATTTGTCTTTCTGGGCCTGGGTTACCCTACTCAGTATAATATTTTCTAGACCCATCTATTTACCTGAAAGTTTCATTTTTCCTTAGAGTTTAGTAAAATTCCACTGTGTAAACGTATCAAATTTTCATCTCAGTCGTGAGTTGGTGAACATTTAGGCTGGTTCCATGCCCTACCTGTTGTAAACAGAAGAGTAGTGAGCGTGGACATACAGGTATCCCTGTAGCAGGACATACAGTCTTTTGGGTATATGCCCAGGAATAATAAAGTTGGGAATATGGTGGCTCTATTTTTAGCTTTTCGAGAAACCCCTGCATGGATTTTCAAAGTGACTGCCACAGTTTTATGGTCCGACCAATGTGGAATAAAAGCTCCCCCTTCTCCACATCCTCGTCAGCTTTTGTTTCCTGGATGACAGCTCTCCTGACAGCATGAAATGAAACCTCAGAAGTATTTTAATTTGCTTTTCTCTTGCAGTTAAAGCCGTTGAACAGTGCTTTAAATATCTACCGGCCATTCGCATTTATTCTTTTGAGGACTCTGTTTAGTTCCATAGGCCATTTTCTGGACTGGGTTGTGAATACAAAATTCTTATGCACCAAATGAGACACCCTCAGTTTTATAAAACACTTGCGTTTGTTAGTTTTCTCTCACTTCAATAAAGCGCCTCATCAAAACAAAAACAAACTAACAAACAACAAGCAAGCTGGGTGGAGGCAGAGGCAGGAGGATCTCTGAGTGTGAGGTGGTTCACAACCGTGTATACAATTCTAGGGGATTGTATGCCCTCTTCTGAACTCTGCAGGCACCAAGTATACATGCGGTGCATATTCATACATGCAAGCAAACCACTCAGTAGCAGGCTTTCTTTTGGGCCTCAACCAGCTCCCAAATCTTGACATAAAGACTTATTCTCAGTTATGAATGCTTGGCCTTATTGCAGCTCTTATTTTAATCTGCTTCTCTTTATCTATATTTTGCCATGGGGCTTCTTACCTTTCTTTCTGTCTGCCCTACTTTCCTGTTTCTCATGTCTGTCTGTCTGTCTGGCGGCTTCTGGCCCTAGACATGTTCATCTCTTTCTTCCTCTTTTCTTCTCTCCTCTCTCGAGCATAGATTTCTCCTCCTGTTTATACTTTCTGCCTGCCAGCCCTGCCTATCTCTCTTCTTCCTAGCTATTGACTGTTCAGCTTCTTATAACACCAATGAGGTGCCTTAGATAGGCAAGGTGAAACCAAAGAAACTCATCTTTACATAACTAAACAAAGAAAGGCAGCAGAAACACGTGACACACCTTTATCCAGTCAAAGTAATATTCCGCAGCATAAACGAGTCTAACACACCTTTACATAATTACAACTAAAAACCATTCCACAACAACACTCAGACATAAACTAAATCTAATAAAAATACAATTTAAGGAAAGGAAGGGTGTATTTTTGCTCACAGCTTCTTCAGTCCCACCTGGCTGGCCCCAGCGCTTTGGGCCTGAGTAAGGCAGACCGTCAGGACAGCAGGAAGCAGGGAGACAGGAAGGAGACAGCAACAAGATGTACTCTTCAAACACACGGCTCCACTTCCTTCGGCTAAGCTCCCTACTGAAGAGTTCATTCACCTAAGACTTCATCAGTGGGTCAATTCACTGAAGGTCGAGCCCTCATAACTCATTTCCCAATAACACCATCAGCACGTGTTGCCATTTTGGGGAGTCCTTTAAGGGAAAGTGAATCTGAACTATTGCAACAGTGGAACCCCAAGGCTCACTCTGATGAGTAGAACGCAAAGTGGAACAGAATTAAAGCTCTTCCCTTAAATTATCTTATTGGCCAAATGGATTTAGCAGGTGTACAGGATACTTCTGCCTTGAGCCAAGGGTCCCCTGAGCTATGTTCCCAGCCTTCCTTTTACATTTTGTTTTGCGACCAAGTCTCACCTGTGCTTAAACTCACCCTTTAGTACAGCCTGGTCTACAAATCAAGTCTCAGGACAGCCAGAGCTGTTACACAGAGAAACCCTGTCTCAGTGGGTGGGGCGGGGGAGAGGGGAGAGAAGTTCAAGATCATCCTTGGTTATGTAGTAAGCTTGAGGAAAGCCTGGGTTACTTGAGACTCTGCCCCCACCCCAATACCAAGCAAACACACACTCACAAACAAATGTAACCAAGGACAAACTAAACCCCTTAGTCAGTAAAAGGGAAGAAATAATAAGATCAGAGCCGAAAGAAAGAAGACTAAAAAAAAAAAATCAATTAAAAAAGAACTGATGAAACAAAAAATTGGTAAACCTAGAGCTTAAGCAACCAAGTGAGGGGGACATAGAATGGGAGAGAGGACTCTGATATATAAAACAATGCATTGTAATTGGTACCACAGAAGTGAAAAGGATCGTTGGGAATGGTTTTTATAACTACATGCAAATAAGTTTTTTAAAAAAAAGATCTAAAAGAAACAGGCAAATTTCTGGACACAAATGACCTAACAAAATTAAACCAAGAGGTTACAAAACTTTTAATAGTCAGCGAGCAACGAGATTCAATCAGTCTTCCATCAAACAGAAGTAGGGCAGTGTGGCTTCCCAGCAGTGTGGCTTCATGATGGACTGTGCCAACAGTTTGAGGGAGAATGAGCGTTGATCCTAGTTCTTCACACAGAGCAACATTTTGCTGTTACCAAAACCTGAAAATATAAAAATGAAAGACGGTCAGAGAGATGAATGGAGGAAGGAAGGAAGGAAGGAAGGAAGGAAGGAAGGAAGGAGAGAAAACAACAAACCAGGGCACTGAACTTTTGATTTTTGTCTAGCAATGACCCTCTTCTACCCTCAGAAGGGCTCCCCCCCTCAATAAACAAACTGTCTATGTTAGGAGAACCAGGAGGAGGAGAGGAAGACTTGCTCCACTTCAGGCAGGCAAGAATGGCCAAACGCTATTTGAAAATTATTGGGTACAAGGCAGCACAAAAATCAATCAAGGGCAAAAATCACACCATCGCTTTTTCTTCAGTGTAAAAAATGTGAATTTGTGCTTAGAAAATCCTAAGGACCTACACTAAGACTCTCAAACCAATAAACAAATTCAGCAGAACAGCAAGATATAAAAACAAAGTACAAAAAAATCAGCGCTGTTTCTTTTTCGATACAAGGCATCAACCAGGTAGTCCAGGCTAGCCTCTCCTCCTCTTGCCTCCTCTCCTTTGCATTGTGATTACGGCTGTGCTCTATCCTGCCCATTAGTCTGTAGCTTTTTAAAAATAACAATGAACTTGCTGGGAGAAAAATTAGGAAACCATTCCATTCCATAAACTTGTGAGAATAACTCAGGAGTAAAGCTAAGCAAGAGGAGGAAGGACTTCTACAATAAATATTACAAAACACACTGAAGATAAAAGTTAAGGACACACGGAGACAGAAAAACCTGTATGTCCATGGGTTGGGGAGTTGCTCCTGCTGCAATAGCTAGTGGAGAGAGAAATCTATAGATTCGGTGCCATCTGCGTCAAAATGATAATGACTCTATTCATACGACTAGGAAAGAATCCTAAAAGTCATATAGAAGTACAGAAGGTCCCAAGTAGTCAAAACAATCATGAAGAAAAGGAAATCTTGGCAGCAACACAATACAGGGTTATAGAATATGTTGTGGAGGGACCGAAGGGCCCAAAAGCACCAGAAACTTTGGAAAGAGGACCCGGCTTAGACTCCAGCACCCACCAGGCAGCTCATAACCATCTGTCACTCTAGTTGTGGAGAATCCAATGCTTTCTTCTGGCGCCCTTGGGCACCAGACATGCATGTGGTGCACAGATAGACATGCAGGCAAAGCAGTCTCACACACAGGGAAAAATCAGCCAAACAAACAAAACCACCTATACACATAAGATATATAAATTTTTAAAATGGACACACTGTGGAGTTGCAGTAACAAGACATCACGGTGCTGGCATAGACGCAGCCATGCCGGCCGGTGGAGCAGCAATACCTAAGGTAGATACTTGTCTGAAAAATAGATCCCTACAGTTTCAATCTCACGACTTCTATTGCTCCTACCAGCGTGCTCTTTCTGGTCTCCATGCGGTTTTCTACAGCAGTTTGCTTCACTTGGCAGTCCGTGTTTGGCCTTTTAGTTTAGCCTCAAAACATTTTCAGTTACTGCCAGGTACGTCTCTGTAATCCCAGGGAGTGGGAGGTGGAATCACGAGTCCAAGGTTATGTCTGCGCGCTTAACTGGCAGCCCTAGTTAAACAAGAGAGGCAGAGAAAGATAAAGAGAGATAAGGAGATATTTCACATCGCTTCATATGTACCATAATCTGTCCAAGTAAGATATAAGCAAGTGTCTGAAACCCAGTTGAGGGTAGGGATGGCGCAGACCCAGATGCCACAATTTCTATACTTCAACATTTCCATATTGAACTCATTGAACTCTGTGTCACTCAACTGCGGACAAATTCGGGAGATTTCAGAGGGAAATCTGTCAGGGAGTGTCCTTAATCTGAAATAGAGAAATTCAGTGCTAGGTCAAGCAAAGGATGTTTTCTTTCCCGTGAAATCCAACTGCACAGGGGACAGAAAACAATGCTTCGGTTTAATTCTGGACACAGTGTGTCATCCATTGGGGTAGAAAGCACAGCTACCTCCAGTCAGTGAGCTACCCTAGAATTTTCATATCCCATAGAATTTTCTGATCTGTCATGGGCACAGAGAACTTTGAGTGGCAGCTAAGTTCTTCATAGATATGGTACTCTCGACACTGGGACTGCGAAGCCGCTGCATCTTCCGGCTCTGAGGAAGGGAATCTCCCCGTGAAGCTGCTTTCAGTAGCCAGTCCCAGGCCACCGCCTTGTGTTCTTTCCCCTCACACTTTAGAGAATCATCTGCACCCTCCCCACACCCTCTGGGGCATCATGGGAAGGGAAGAGAAGCTGCATTCTCCATTCTGCCCGCATATTTTAAGGTCTATGTTGGGGGTTGGGGTAGCCAAGCAAGGTTTTTTGTTTGTTTGTTTTTGATTTTTTTTTTCAAGCTGCGCTGTCCCAGAATGAAAGGTCACTGTAGGAACAGGTATTCCAAATACCCAGCAGCAGTTGCTTCATTAGCAGGAATGGGGAGAAAGGTCAGTACAACCTGAACGTGGGGTCCAGGGCGATAACTTCTTTCTCAGTTTGCAAGTATTTATTGAGCTTCTGTTGGTCGGATACCTCCCACCTGCATATCCTTGCTTCTCCACTCTGCTCACTCTACTGGTATGCAGAGCTGAGCTGCGGGAGTGCGCGCGCTGCTGGTGGTGTTCAGCCAAGCTGAGGCACTGGCGACACGCCAACAAAAGAAGACTGGAATCAAAGTATTCCATTTACCCGCGCCTGCGTACCATCTAAGGTCACTTGACTCTGGCTCAGAGTGCTGCAGTTCCAGTCAGGCAGCCCTCTTCCCTTTAGGCGGGGAGGGCGGGGGGCGCAGTTCTGCACCAAACACCCTCGTATCCTTTTGCTCCCAACCCTTCCCACGCCTTTGTAAAAGGCTGTAATCCCTTTGTGAAACTTCCTCCTGTTGCCACGTTTGTGTGGACCACTTGCTTCGGGACAGAACTCAGACTGAAAGAACCCTAGTGGTGGAAACCCAACTTGACATGGATAGCAGCTAGAAATGTATGTGGGGGGGGGGGAGGAGAGGACACGATGACACGGGACACAACGGCCCTTCCCCAAGTGAAACCCAGGCGACCAGCAGTGCATCCCCTTCTTATATACTAGACCTACCATGCCTTTCAGATAAGGGAAATACATATAGAAAACTGTGTGCCTTTCTAAAGTCCCTCAATATTTAACAACAGTCGAACTCCATAAACACTGAGCTGACCAGGAACTTTCGAGGGAAATTCTTGGTCAGAGACTAGGGATTAAGAGGGAACTGGGCCATGCATGTTTCTTGGGAACCACTTGAATTTCAGTGTGGAGCTGCAGCTTCGAATCTTTTCAGCTTGTTTGTCATTGTGCTTTGACTTCAGACACACTTTGGATTCCCAGGCGAGTCTTTGTTCTTAGCAAACATTCTCCTTTTCTATCGGGAATCTTGAATTTGCACAAAGAAGTCTCAGAGATTGGAGGATGCGTCCGAGACCAACCAATGGGAATGGACCGAGTCGTCCCGCCCGCGACTACTACTCCTGGAGTCCAGTCCACCCGCTCCAAGCTCCAACTCGTCCAGCTCGAGATGATGGCGACGCTGAGCCTGGAGCCCGCGGGCCGCAGCTGCTGGGACGAGCCGCTGAGCATCGCCGTGCGCGGCCTGGCCCCCGAGCAGCCCGTCACGCTGCGCGCCGTCCTGCGCGACGAGAGAGGCGCGCTCTTCCGCTCCCACGCGCGCTACCGCGCCGACCCCCACGGCGAGCTGGACCTGGCGCGCGCGCCCGCGCTGGGCGGCAGCTTCGCGGGGCTCGAGCCCATGGGGCTGCTCTGGGCCATGGAGCCCGATCGGCCTTTCTGGCGTCTGATCAAGCGCGACGTGCAGACGCCCTTCGTGGTGGAGCTGGAGGTGCTGGACGGCCACGAGCCCGACGGCGGGCGGCTGCTGGCGCGGGCAGTGCACGAGCGTCACTTCATGGCTCCCGGGGTGCGGCGCGTGCCCGTGCGCGAGGGCCGTGTGCGCGCCACGCTCTTCCTGCCTCCAGGTGAGCAGCCCTCCACCTTCCCTTGCTCAAAGTTTCTCTGTGATTTTAAGTGGAAAAAAAGGTAGCTCCCAATGACTTAGGACTCAGAGGAAAGGAGACTGGACCCAGCTGGAATGGACCTGTTATGATGATGCTGTTTCTCTGAAACTGGTCCTTTATTCTGTGGCTAAGTTACAAGACTTTTTAAGGAAAAGGACAAGACACCTGTAATATAAAATTAAAACTAGTGGTAATAAACGGGGTGGCACACTCCTTTAATCCTAGCACTTGAGAGGCAGAGGCAGACCCGTTTTTTAAGTTTGAGGCCAACATGGTTTACAGAGTGTGTTCCAGGACAGCCAGGCTACATAGATAAGCCCTGTCTCAAAAACCATAGCCATCTTTAAATATTAAATGTTAAATCTGTTTTGAGCTGTGCATCGTAGCACGGCAGGTTGGGACACCAAAGCAAAAGGCTGTCTTGAGCGTTGGAGCTCAGGCTAGTCTGGCCAAACCCTTTTCAAAACAAGGAATGCTTCTTCTTTCCTTTCCTTTCCTTTCCTTTCCTTTCCTTTCCTTTCCTTTCCTTTCCTTTCCTTTCCTTTCCTTTTCTTCTCTTTTCATTTTGTTTTTTTTCTCCTTCCTTCTTCTTCCTCCTCCTCCTCCTCCTCCTCCTCCTCCTCCTCCTCCTCCTCCTCCTATTCTTTTTTCCAATACAGGGTTTCTCTGTCCTGGAACTCACTCTGTAGGCCAGGCTGGCCTTAAACTCAGAGACCCACCTGCCTCTGCCTCCTGAGTGCTGGGATTAGAGGTGTGCGCCACCACCGACTGGCCAAGGGATATTTCTTGCTTCTGCTGTTTTTCTTTCCATTTTCATACTACATTAAGATTTCGGTCAACTAGCTGTTAGAGGGAGGCCTTTTCTGTCGACTAACAATCTAAGATCATTTCATAGTCATACATAAAATGATGCTTACTTAGCCTCTTTAGTAACTGACAAAATGCAAAATAAAACTACAGACTATATAGCATAGCTTCAAGAGTAACAAAGCTTTCAAAGTCTAACATTTCCAATTCTTGTTAAATGCTTCGAGGAAGCGTCACGCAGTACATAGCTAGAGAGAGTGGGGGGGGGGTGTTCACCCAGCTATTCTGGGAAGCAATTGCTTTTTAACTACGTAGATCAATATGTAATTCTACCATTGTATGCTCATGTGTACTGGAAAGATTGTTGCTTGGAAATAGTCTAAATGCCCCACCCACCAATAATGAAGTTGATGAATAAATGGAGGCATAGTTGTAGAAGTCAAAGTAATTGTCCCTCAGCTTCTTGTGCTCAACCCAAATGAAAGCATAGGGAGGCAAACTCTCTAGTTGCTGGTCATTGCCCCTGTTGTTCAGTAGCAAGGAGCCACAGCAGTAGGAAGCAGGAGCAACCATTAGTGGCATTCTCTAGTGTCACAGTCCTGCAGGCCTTGGGTATCAGGTCCTCTTGCTTCCGGCCAAGGCCAATGTTACATCCTGTGGTGCAAGACCCTGCACCTCTGTAGCTTGACAGCTTTCTGGAATCCTGGAATATTTTGGTGACCAGCAACGCCCCGCCCCCCCCTGCCCAGCTTTTGTTCTTCTTTAGTCTCGGCTCACTACTCTCTCTTGTTATCTCTCTATTTCCATATTTCTGTTCCTTTCCCTGGCTACTCTTAAGTCATTTGGCTGCTTCTTCGGCCAGCTGCCTGAATCCTCCCCAGCACAGCGACGGCTGCCATGACAACTCCGGAAGCCTGCCCCTTGCCAGAGGATGGAGCTCCAGACTGACACACTTGCCAGCTGCTTAGAAGTTGCAGTATCGATTCAGGAGCTGGATGCCAAGTGCTGGGCATACACCAACACACAGGACTGCCGAGGGGTGAGAGCAGCCACCTGCATTAATGGTTTCACAACTTGCTCTATTAAATGCTGAGCTTTCCTGACCACTGCTGATGCACTGGCTCTGCCTCATGCTCCTTGTGGTCTTTATGTTCCCAGCTTAGCCTACATTGAAAGTAGGCAAGAAAAGACCACTCCAGAGAAGCTTCTGTCCAATGTTGCTGCACCAGGGGAGGCAGGATTAAAAAGAATGTCTCTCCGAGGACTTGCTGAATAGCCTGCTTGCATTTGTTAGAGAAGGGTCATCGGATCAATTCCAGTCCATCCTCTTAGCACCCATCACAATAACTCACAATAACTGAGATTGGTGTTTTAGACCAAGCACAGCTTTGCCTTCAGGTACAACCACCAGACTAGCTGGGGAAATGCCCCCTTCCATACACGCACACCAAGGTGGAAATGGTTATAACAGAAAATCTGGTACAAGTTGTTTCTAAGGGCCCTGGCAATAGCTACACTGATGGCAGAAGATACAAAATAATCCCACGCTAGTTCAGAATTACGTACAATAAAGGGTTATTTATTTAGAGGAGACTAATAGATCACTGTCCTAGATCACAGTCCTCTGCATGAGCAGGGAACAGGAACAGAGTCTAGCAGCTGAAAGTGAGAGCTGTAAGCAAGAGAGTGAGCACAGGCTTTACAGCTGCATTTATAGTATAAGAGACCACACCCAAGTGGGCTGGTATCTTAAAGGCTATTGGCTGAAGGAGCAGAAGGAGCTCCCACAGCACCTCCCCCTTTTATTTAAACAAGAGAGTTCCAAACCCAATACAAAACTATATACACTAGGAACAGATATCAAATATAGGATTAGAATTATAACCAGCATAAACAATATTAAGCAAGGAAGTATGCTAAATGTTTTAATAAATATTCTATCCTGAGGAGTCTAAGTCTTGTATTGAAAATGACTTGGCTAGATCATAAGAGGATGGTAACTATGACTATCTAATTTTCAACCACATCAAAGGACTGAGAAGGAAAATATTACTTGAGTAGGCAGGAAGTGTGATCAAGCAGCTTCCAAAATGTGCAGTAGATGACAGAGACAACTGTCTACTTGGACAATCACCCAAAGTCTCATTTGCAATGTTGAAGCAACCAACTTTGTCTATGGCCTAGAGTAACTGACAGACCATTTTCAGAGGCAAGAAATATTTCAAAACCATCTTACCCAGTCTTGGCAAGATTTGGCAGTCTTTTTTCTTGTATGCTCCTTGTCCAGTCTGGACATAGTGCACTTTGTCAGTGGTCGAGCCATGGGCAATTTCTTGCCCAAAGGTCAGTCATACCAAGAAGAAGACAAACTCTGAGTGGAGTGCCTTTGGTGCTCAACACTCTCTCAGGAATAGATCAGTGTTGCTAGGAGCAACTGTGTCTCACATCAACAGAATCCTAAGTTATTTAAATGCCATGTTCTACAGATCTTTGCAGAATACAATCTCTATGTATATAAAGAACCTAATTAGTCTGACTAAAAGTATAACAAACATGAATGGCTACTGACCTATAATACTTAATACCTACATATATATTAAAGATTAAAACTTCATATCAGAATATTAAACAATCTTTTAAAAACTGTGCAGTAAAGGAGGACAATTACATCAAAATGTAAACAATGTATAAATATCTTAATCAGAGATAAAAATATATAATGCAATATGATAAATATATCCTAAAATTGTATCAATATCCAAAATGTCTTAAACAGAGGTATAAATATGTATGCGTACAATATGACAAAATAGCTGTGCATAAGTGTACAAGTATTGTAAATAGAAATAACAAATATAATTTGAACTTGTATCAATATACAAGAAACCATACCAGTGTAAATTGTCCATAAATAATAACTCACAAGTATTCACTCTATTACTCACTATTATTATTATTATTAGTGTGAATAATTTCACACTAAATTATCTATTATCCCATTCAAGCTTCTGTTTTTATTTATTTATTTTTTGAGATCTCTAGGCCTACAATTTCCACTCCAACCCCCAACCCTCTGCAAGTAGTAATCAACCCCTAAATGGTGTCTCTAACCATAAGAACAA